CCCCAAACCCTAAACCCTGAAGGCTCCTCCGCCCCTCCGAAAACCCAAGAATGGCTCCTTCATGTTCGCGTGGGCCTGAGAGAATCCATCCTGAAGCTGCCAATGTAGTGCTTCGCAGCTCTATCCTCGGCAAAGTGCCGAGGCACCAGTCTGATCGTTCAGGCTAAGGTTTCGGGTTTAGGGTTTGGGTTTGGGGATGCTTAGGGGTTAGGGTTTGGGGATGCTTAGGGTTTAGGGTTTAGGGTTGGGGATGCTCAGGGTTTAGGGTTTAGGGTTTGGGGATGCTTCGGGTTTAGGGTTTAGGGGTTTGGGGTTTAGAGCTTAGGGTTCAGACAACCAAAGGCTCAAGATCTTACTATTGTGGTACGGTCGCCAACACCACGATTGATTCCACTACGGCCGTAACGGAGATGCAGGCGTCTACAACAGCTCTATACAGGTGGTTTAAGACTTCGTGTAAGTAAGTAGGGGCCTTAACGATGAGGATAGGGCGTTCATGCGGAGTATCCAATGAATAGGTGCTGTCGGCGTCTTAATAATTAGAATAGGGTTTTGGGGTATCGTATACGATAATAAGGAACCCCAAAATGGTATGGGTAAGACTGTAAAGGAAACATTGTCTCCAGTCTCGAACCCCGCGCATTCAGCAGGCCTCCGCAAGGCGGATGCGGAGGTGCTGTATGTTGGAAGCCATCACCAAATTCTGCGTACAGCCAAACTCTACAAAGTCTTACGGTGCAACTGTTCGCGGCGCCGCCTTCGGAATCGTGCCTTCAGCGTAGGCGGTTTTTTCTATACCAATCTCACTATCCAAGCCCCCATGAAAAGCAGGGACAACTGACGGTGCCAACTGTAAACTCTAACCTCAACTCCGCAGCCTGTTTAGCCCTAGCCTTGAACTTGGCATTCCAAGTTCCTATGACCCAAACGCACAGAGCTGTTCATCCGAAAATGTAACTCGGGTTCACGGCTTAGAGCATATGCTCTCGCCACAGGGTTCGGGTGTGGAGTTAAGAGCTTATACAGTGTAAAGTTGAAGGGAATCCATGCAGCCGGTACATAAGCCTTGGTCATGGATGCTACAAGGGGCACAAGCAGTAGATGATCCAGTAGTGAGATACTCGGGTTAAGGATAAGACTACTTGTGTAGGTGAGTCGGGGCCATTGTTTTATGCCCCTATAGTATGTAGAGCTTGAGGTTTAGGAGTCAACCCTAAACCCCAAAACAATTATAAGGCAGAAATAAGCTTAGCATTTGGAATATGGGGCCTGGAAGATCCAAGGTTAGGATTTAGGGTTTAGGGCTTATGTAAGCTCAGGATTTTCGTAGAGCTTGCGTGCTGCGAGGAACCAACAACCTCCTCCGCAAAGACCTGTAGCTTCAAACCCTCCTAGAACAGTGCGAGAAAGGAACCATACCACTGCTTGTTCATACCTCAGAAGTAACCCTCGCTTTTCCACTCAGTTCTTTGAGTTAATATAAAACGGTTAAAACCCAGGAAGATTCAACTCCATAAAAACCCCTGGTATAACACACTATACAACCTTCATAGGTCCTTATAAATCCTCCAAAAGCTCACCACCGCAACTCTGAGCCTGGCTCTCTGTGGGTTCATCGGGAGGAGCCGCGTCGAAGACGCAGCGTATCAGGGCCACCGTCCCGGAGTAGGACACGACGCCTGCCCAAAGAGACGAATGCTGCTTGATTGTAAGGCATATAGAAGCCCTTCAGTCCCTTAAGGTGATGAGGAATCTAAGGTCTAAGTTTAAGGGCTTATATTCGATCATGCTCAACGGCTAAAGACAACTGCAAAAGGTCTGAGTTAGATATCCTAAACCCTAAATCCATATTACATGTGATACATGGGCTTCAGGGCCAGAAGATGCCAAAAGGTCAGGGGACTTAGAAAGTGAGGGGTTGAGAGCATGGTAATGTGTACTTCTAACAACCACTAGAATATGCAGAACCCCCTACTCAAGGACTACACGGAGTCAACGGAGACCAGATCCTGCAGTAACGACGCAGGCTCTCGGATGATGTAACGAATCCTAAATCACAGAAACTAAATCCCAAACCCTTGTTTAGTCCTGATAAATCCCTTTCCTTACAGTTTTAGGCTCTAAGTCCTAAGCACTCAGCCCCTTGAATAAGAGCTAAGACAAAGTAGGTTTCTCTGACGCTAAGCCTTAAACCCTGAAGACTGTAGGTCTAGCTATAATAAACAACCCTGACGAACAGTATGGGCCGTATGGGTAATTATTCAACCCATAGTCTCCATTGTAGTTCCCTCTTGGGGTTACCTTGTAGGATCCTAGATTTATACTAAACAAGAAGAGGAACGACACTGGAGACTATAGGTACAGAAGGCACCTTGGCTACGCGCTGTAGCCCGGAATCCGCTAGTGGATCTTGCCGTGCATGTCCATGAGGTCAAATAACTCCTGGGCAAAAACGGGGTACCACAGGGGCCTGCAAAAACCAGCAATGCTAGTCCTCATAAGGTTGCTTGATATCAGTACGTTTAGTAAAGCACCAACCCGCAATGCTTTAGTTATTCTAATTCCTCAGGCCCTTATGTCAGGTGACAGCTGTGAGGGCGAAGTCTACCAAGGAGATACAAAGCTTACGTGCGTGGGCTAAGTTCTTCTTCCGCCTTCTCTGCGGAAGGTTGAGGGCTCAGGGTTTCGGGGCTAAGGCACAATATGGAGATTGGGATACCGTAATCTAGAGGGTCCAAGTACCCAAATATTCGGGCATGAGGTGCCAAATGCCATGCTCTGCATGGCTTCGTTTACCTAAGACCAGGCCCCGAGCCACAAATGCAAACTGTAACCCCGAAACCCCAAAAACCTAAAGCCTGAATTAAACCTCGAACCCCTAAACCCTAAATTGCTAAATTGCTTGGGTACACATTGGACATACACCGTCCACGCAAACCTCGACGTACCACTTGCCCTGCCCAAATGTGTAGGGTCTAGATTCCAAGAGCCGAACAGGGGCTTCTAGGAAAACTATGCTAAGCTTATACAGGGACTATAAGGGAATACTCGAATACGCTAGCTGCTTTCTGAAAGCAAGATATGGTTTGTGAAAGTATCCCCCCGTTAAGACTCTTAAATGGAACCCTTTGTGCTCAAAGGCCCCTCAGTTACTAGAACCGCGTTCGGGTGGCATGCTATGGCAAAGTTAGAGATATCATGACTTAATTTGTGTACTTCATATTCGAAGCACTGATTATATTAAAGTACAAGTCTGAACATAAACCTCTTGAATCGCGGCTTTTGAGTTCACCGCCTGTAACCTAGCACACTGAGTCCCTGAGACCGGTGCTGCGGATGCGTTTGGAAGAGCCGGTTGCCTTCAAGACCCCAGCCCATAATTGAGGCATGGGGAATCTTAATATAGGGGCCTTAAGAATTACCTATACTGTTTTGGGGTTCCCTTACTACAACTATGGTATGACATACCAAAAGACCCTACTCAAATCATTAAGGCCCCCATACATTGGCTTTCTTCCTTTCTCTGCGCCGTGGGGTTACGTTGGCCTCGTAGGCCTGGGTGGGGTGTAGGGTTTAGGGTGTAGGAGTGTAGAGTTTAGGGTTTAGGGCTTATATAGGGTGTAGGATTTAGGATTAAGCGTGTACGGTTTAGGGTTCATAAACGGAGGGATCAGGTTCAGGGAGGGAAGAAGCTCAGGGCATTCTTAGTGAAGAGCAACTTTTCTTACGGGAACCTCGCTTACTTAATAAGGCTGTGACATCACACCCGGTACAACCGGGTCTTTTCCAAAAGGAGCCCAAAAACGGAGATGGCTGAGGCAATGGCGGTTCGCCTCCATTTTGGGGCTTGGGGTTTAAGAATTAGGGTTTAAGATTTGAGGTGTAGGATTGAGGGATTTGGGATGTAGGATTTTGAGATTATAGGGCTTAGGGCTTGCGGAGGGGCGCCTTACTAACTCAGGGGCTCCGTAAAGCAAGCAGCTCTCATTGTGGGTGGTGTCTTGAGGAAATGTGCGTTAAGTTCTGTCGACTGTCAGATCCGGGGCGGGTTTAGGATTTATAAGGTTTAAGGTCCAAAGACCGAGGATCAACTGCCCCACCAGGGGGTCTGACAGTTCAGCTCTCAGATCGCTTGGCTCAGAAGCTTTCTCCATATTCGGGGAGACATGGGGCCTCCCCAAGGCGATCCACTTGGACTCTTGCCAAAAACAGAGGCACGCCTTTTGCAACTCCACTCACTTCGCAGGCGTGAAAGTTGCCAATGTCACTGCATGATCGACTTCTTCTCCGCTGCGTCGATCATGGGTAGCGAGCTCATGGGCAGCGAGCTTAGAAACTCGACCCCTAAACCCTACGCCCTAAACCCGTATTATATATGTGTATGTATATGTATATGTATGTATATATATATATATATGTTATAGAGAGAGAGAGAGAGAACCTTTAGAGTAGCCGTTATAGACCCCTTAAAGGAACCCTGGTGCTGCTCGTACAGAAGGGCGTTTGTGTTGAGGGCTTGATCTTTTATTCTAGGTTTTGGGCTTCCAGGAGTCCCGTCTATTAGGTTCCTTTCAAGGGTGCCTGTACTAGGTTCCTCTCAAGGGTTCCTTTTAAGGGCTCCTTTAAGGGTTTGAGGTTTAGGGGTTTCGCAAATTTGAATTTGAGATTTAGGGTTTAGGTCCAAATACATCTAACAGCTACCTGGACCTTCTGGAAAGATTGCTGGACCAGGGGACATACTTGTGTTCCGCCAGCCGCAGATGCCGAAACATGCTGTACATCTCCTGGTTGACGCGAAAACTATGCTGGAAACCCTAAACCCTGCAGCCCTAAACCCGAATCATAGACCCTAAATCCTAAACCCCAGAAAACCTCAAGCTCCGACTCCCGATCCGGAGCCCTCTACGCAGAGTCAGCGGGCCATCCCTACTCATCACCACCCCGCAGGCCCAGAACATCGAAAGACGAGGCTCAATCGAGCCGGAGGTCCTGCCACCAAGACAGAAAACCGAAACTCAACTAACATCTTCAAGCCCTGAGTAAACCTCACAATATGAGACTTCGCAGCTGAACGCTGCCTTCAAAGCAACAAACTAGAGCCTACCACCCCAACCCGAAAGCCTATAAAACCCAAAACCCCAAATCCCCTAAAGCCTAAAACCCCTAAAACCCCGGAAGCCCCCATGCACACACTCCGCGCCGTCCACCAAAACGCAGCTCGAATCAGCGCTGGTGCTGGGCGCCACAAATAGAGATGCTTCCACCTGCACGGGTTCAAGAGCTCACACCAGAAGTACTACTACCCTAAGCCCTGAACCCTGAACCCTGAACCCTACACCCTGAAAACTCTAAACCCGAAACCCTGAACCCTGAACCCTATAAACCCTATCAGCGCTTAGGGGTGGTTGTTCTACGTCCTCTTCTAAGGTATCGAGGTTGCGTGGCATGTGTTCTTCCTTTGCGCCCGTCATTCTGACAGCACATGTTTTTTCAGCTGAGGGCTTTATGAGTTTGGAAATGGGGTTCGTTGCGATTTTCAACCGGTTCGGCGGTTTGGGGGCTTAGCATGACATAGAGTGTTTCTCCCTACTCTCCCCAGAAGATGTCCTATCTACAGTCACCGAGAATTCCAACTAGACGCTGCTCAACCCTGCAAACGATTGTGCCTCCCAGGTGGTCGGCTGATCTTTGGCCTGTGAAGCGGAAGAAGTCTGCAGACGACAGGGGCAGCAAGAAAACGCAATGTACTTGTATGCATATACACATCTGTATGCATGTATGTATGTTTGCTTGTTT